ATCACCCGCCACGACCACTTTTCTCCTACGAGCTTTTTTGCACTTTCGCAAACCTGGGGTATTCCCCAAGGCTGCTCGCATCCCCCTTTGACGAGGGGGGCAGAGCCGCCTCCTTTCATAAGCGACAGCACTCAGCACCAGAACGTGGGAAACGGGGAAAGAGGAAACCTTACGGGCTGGAGCCCTCTTCCAGCAAACGCAGGACGCTCCTGAAGCGGCGGATGGGATGCGCACGGGCTCCTTGCAATAAAACTGAGGAATGATGTAAAGGCCCAGGTGGGGGGGGGAGGAGGGGAGCTGCCCTCTTGAAAAATAAATAATTTTATAAATGCCACTTGCATCGTTTCGGCTACTGGACGAGATCGAAAATAAGTAATTAAACAAATTAAAGTCTGCAAACCGGATGACCCCCCTCCCCCCCACACACACACAACTTTTTTGGCGCCCTCCTTCTCCAGAACTTTTAGGCGGGCATTGCTACCACCACCTGACCCATCGTGCGTGAAGGGAGTACAGTTCCCAGCGGGCGTGCTGCAGCTCGCTTCTTGGTCTTCCTAGCCTGGCACGCCCCGGGAAGGACAGTGCTTCCGGGGCTGACACGACGCGTTTGTGTACGGCAGGATCGCGGTGGAGCGCACGCGCCCGAAGGGTACGTCTGAATCCGGCTGTCCGTATGCAAATGCTGGTTGGTGATCGGGAAGGGCTTCCTTGCGGGGCGAGAAAGTGCCACGGGGGGGGGTTGGAGTGTGTGTGTGGGGGGGGGGGGGGTCTGGGCTTCCGTGTGCGGCATTTTTCATGCGGGAGTGAAGTGGGGGGTGCCAACAGACGTGGCCGCTTTTGGCTCCGTCCTCCGTGTTCCAATGCAATTGAAAATTCAGCATGAAAATATAGGGTGGGTCGACATGATAGAAACGTCATGAAATTTGGCTGAGGAAGCAGGAATAATGCATAATGATACATTAAAATTAGGAGCAGAGATGTCCCAGAGGAGCCTTTTTCGGATAGAAAAAGTAACTTATGAAAAAATCAACCTGGAAGATGGGCACAGTTTGGAGTGGTGTATTTTCAGTTCTGATATATGGCATGGAAATACGGATTTTAATACAGACTACCATAAAAAAGGGCAGAAGCACCTGAAAATGCTAGGAGCATGGGAAATAAGCAGGAAGAGCTCAAGGTTCTCCTAGGAATAGGCAGATACCACCTGGTTTGGATTACGGAAACATGGTGGGATGAAAAGCAGGATTGGAATACTCTTTTTAGGAAGGGCAGGAAGGGAAAGAGGGGAGGGGGTGTAGCGCTCTATGTTAAGGAAGGGACAGGGTGCAATAAGGAGGGGAGGAGGATGGAAGGGGGTCAGGTTGAGGCCGTGATGGGTCTGGAGGTGGCCAAGGATCTGAAAGTGGGGGTATGTTATCACCCACTGGGTCAGCTCAAGACCCTGGATGATGCTTTGAAGAGTATCCCAGGGGAGGGACAGTCATACTGGGAGACTAACCTCCCTATATTGGTTGGGAAATGCACTTAGCAGTGGCGAGGTCCCATTGCTTCCTAGAAGCGATGGAGGGGGGGTTGTTCACCCAGAGGGTCCAAGAGGCAACGGGGGGGGGGGGGGGCAATCTAGACCTGGTTCTGACCAGCAGGGAGGTTCTGGTGGGTGA